GTCCCTCTCGGACACCTCCCGCCCCCCGGTTCCTTTCAGATTCCCCTCCCCTCCCGGTCCCTCTCGGACACCCCCGTCCCGACCTGCGGCCGCCGCGGCCCCGCCGGAAGCGCCCCGCCTGGCGCCGCCCGGGCATGAGCGGCGTCGGGGAAGCCGGCGTCGGGCGACAGCGCCCCCTGGCGGCCGGAAGGTCTCAGGGCCTGCAGGGGGAGTTAACACCCCGAGCACTCCCCCTTCCCCCTCGCCCCAGCTCGGCGGGGACGTTGCTTTAATTAATTCATTAATCGCCAGAGCGGGACACACAGACACACGCCCGCTTCTCATAATGGTGAACCCTCCGTTGCGCACCACAGCGGCAGCTACCGGGAGAGCAAGGGGGCGATGATGGAGATGATGGATCTCCCCCTGGGGTAGGGGTTTCTCCTCGCTCCCCCCGAGGAAAAGGATTATCCTCCCTGGCACAGGGGTTCCCCAGCTTCTCTTTCGGATCACTGCATGTCTGTGGGAGCTCCCCAGCAGGAGCCCTCTTAGGAAGGATGCCCCCCTCTCTCCTCCAGCAGCAGAGGGCAGGTCAGGCTCTCCAGGGCGAGGGGACGGGCTGCAGCAGCACCCCTACCATTTATTACATGATTTAAGTTCAAATACAAAATAAGGACCGAGGGAAGAAGAACGTCTGACCGGGGAGAGCAGCAGGACAGCACTGGCGGGGTGCAGGAACCCCCTCCCCTAGCCCCGCTAGCTGGAGCTGGTCTCTTCTGCCTTCAGCATGTCCACGGAGGGAGGCTGGGGGTCCTCACGGGCTGGGGGCACCTCCTCTTGGGCCTTCACAGCTTGAGGCTTGGTCAGTGTGGAATAGATCCCCAGGGCCTGGAGGGAAGGAGAGAGCCATGGGTCAGGAGAGGAGAGGGCTTGGGCCCCACCAGGCGGCCCCTGTCACCTCCTGCGGGCAAGAGAGGGGGTGCCTCTGGCCACACTGACCTGTGCCACCATGCTGGTGACATCGCCGGCGTTGGTGGGCAGCAGGAGGGTGTTGGAATCTTTGGCAAGCTTGGAGAAGGCGTTCACATACTGCTCTGCCACAGAGAGCGAGGCGGCGGCGCTGCCGTGCTGGGGGGAGAGGGAGGAGGCTCAGCAGCCAGACAGGTACCACCCAGACCCCCTCCCCACCCCTTCCCCAGCCCCCAAGACAGCCAAATTCCTTGCTGAAGACACCAGGGTAGTGTCCAAGAGAGAGACAGGTGACACCCAGGCTGTGGTGTCACCTCCCCCAGTGCTGGCTGCCCCACGGCTCACCTGCTGTGCCAGGGCGGCTGCCAGGAGCTGGATCGCCTCCGCCTTGGCCCTGGCCTTCACCAGCACGGCGTTGGCTTCTCCTGCAACCAACCACAGCAGGAGGCACATCAGAACCACCACAAAGAGCTTGCAAGGAGCTCCCCGGGCTGTGGGGCAGCAACAGGAATTGGAGCTCAGCCCGAGGGACCCAGCAGGGAAGGTGTGGAAGCCTGGCCCGCAGACTGGCATGTTGTCCCTCCCCAGGACCACCACCCTGGGTGGTGGCAGAGGGCTACCCATCCCCCATCCCCTGGAGGTTCTAGCCCAAGGCACTACCAGCAGCTTTGTTGATTTGTTCGGCCTTCTCAGCTTCTGATGCCAGGATCTGGGCCTGCTTCTGCCCCTCAGCCACGTTGATAGCCGACTCCCGCGTCCCCTCCGACTCCAGCACCATCGCCCGCTTCCGTCGCTCGGCCTCCACCTGCAGACACAGGTCAGGTCCCAGCCGGCCACCACCACGCTGGGGAAATCCCAGCCACGGGGCAAGCACAGCGAGGACACGCTCCTGTGTGTCTTGGGCCCTGGTGAGGGCCGGTCTGCTCCTCACACTGCTCAGAACCCTGCAGCCCGGTCCACAGCAAACTGGACAGCCGCTTCCCCCCTCCTCCCCTTCCATCCTGGAGATTGGAGCCTGGCTCTTCTCAAGAGAAGACCCTCAGAGCTCTGGGATTTGCTCCCTACAGAGCCTTAAAGTGAGCTGGCAGGGCTTGCATGTAAAGTGTTTGGCAGGGGCCACCACTGCCGAAATAAGGACGGGAATTACTGATTCAAGAGCTGTACGTTGGCAGCCAAAGTGCCAACAGGTTTCCCTCACCACAGGAGGGACCAGTGCTGCCAGCTCTGGATGGAGAACAACGGTTTGGGGTGGAAAGGCAGACTTCCCTCTTTTTCCAGACCGCCCTGCCAGAGAACCGCACCTGCATCTGCATGGACTCCTTCACGCGCGGGGGGACGTGGATGTCCTTGATCTCGTAGCGCAGGCAGCGGATGCCCCAGTAGTCGGAGGCCTGGTTGATGGCATCCACAATGTTGGCGTTGAGGGACTCTCGCTCCTGGGAGGCACAAAAGAAACGGCAAACAGCCAAGAAGAGGGGTTTTAGCAGGAGACAGGGGTCAGGAGGGAGACAGAGACACACCCCCTCGCGGGCCAAGGTCAGCCAAACCAAACCAAAATAACCAAAACATGACCCATCTCCAAGGATTCGCTTAGAGGTCAACTGAAGCTGAAGCCAGAAGCCCTCCAAGCAGAGGACGTATTGCTGCTCCACCTCCCCAGCTCACCCGGAACACTCTGTCGAGGGAGAGCTTGCCAAGTTCAGATCTCATGGTGGTCTGGGCCAGCTGGGTCACTGCGTACTCTGGATCTTCCACCCCGTAGCTGGCCTGGAGAGCAGAAGCAGAAAACAAAGAGTCGACGGCAGTGCCAAGAGGAACGGCAGGAGAAGGCAGGGTTTGACCCGGGGCGAGTGTGAGTGCAACAGGGAGGGTACCTTGTAGGGGTCCATCACCCGCAGGTAGAGCACACCATCAATCTGCAGGGTGACGTTATCTGTGGGGAGAGAACAAGACGTCCTGAAGCAGCAAAGACAAACCATGGCGACTCCCCTCTCCCCCGACAGAAGTGGTGGAGCTGGGCAGGGTCACCCCTTCCCCTCCTGGTTCCCCACAGCGTGGCACAGAAGAGGGATTGGCTGAAACCGATTCCCTCATCTAAAAGGCTTTGTAAACAAGACCTTGGCGTTCCCTAGAAAACACTGTATTTTGATGTTTTAATATGCAAGTCTCTGCTCTGCAGATCAAAACATTTCATACTGTAGTTATCTTAAAATCTTTATTTATGTAGGGAAAAAAAAAAACCCAAACACAAAAAACCCAAAAAACGAAAAGCTTAATACTAAAATTTTAACAAGAGTCGTCCATTAACCTTATTTGAAATACTTTTTAGAGACACGGAGATTTTGTTGTGGTTCAACACAGGAAAACATCTGAAAAATGGATTCCTGCCTAGGTGCAACGCAGCAAGAAGGGGCAGCCGCAGCTCTGAGAGGGCAGATGGGACCTCCTGGGGTTCTCCCCCTTGCAGAGCCAGAAACATGGCCAAGTCCAGGTCCCCTGGGACAGGGCTGAGTGCAGGAGACAGAGACATCTCCACTCCTCTCACTCTGTCCCCTCCTCACCCGGGATAAAACAGAAGGAAAGGGGCAGGATGCAGAAGCTGTTCCTTACCTAGGGTGACAGCTGACTGCTCCGGGACATTAATAACAATTTCTTTGAGACTCTGCACATAACGAATCCGATCCAGGAGAGGGATGAGAAAGTTCAAACCCTGGGAAAACAGCAGGATTAGATGGCTGAGCCCTCGGAGCTCTCTGGGCTTTTTCTCATCCAGAGAGCTCAGCCAGACTAGAGAGGGCTGTGCACATAGATGCTGCACGCAGAGGAAACATGCTTTACACATGGGGAGAAATTTAAATTTTTCACTGCTTTTAACACTCAACGAAACAAAATTAAGTCTACAGGCAGTCAAAAATCTGGAAGAATAAGCACACCATCCGCCAAATCCTCGCGGAAAGGACGCGCCTTGCTACAGCTTTAGGAACCTGCTGAATCCAGAAGGGGAGAAAAGCAGCTCCTTACAGGCTCGAGGATTCGGTGGAACTTGCCCATCCTCTCCACCACCCAAGCCTCCTGCTGCGGCACAAAGAGCACCCCAATATTCACGGGCAGGCCAGAGCTCAAGCGGTACGGTGCTGGGGCCAGCCACGCTGAACGCTTCAGCTGCTGGGAGCGCTGGAGAAAGGAAAAGGAACAGAATGGAAACCGGCTGATGGCACCTCAGAGCCCAGCACCATCCCTGCTCTCCCATCTGGGATCACTCCTCATGGCCTCCATACACCAGGGCAGGAAACAGCACTGACACCCTGGAGACGCCCACGCCACGAGGGACATGGGTTGTGCCCTCAGTGGTGAGATCTGGGCCCGAGGGCCAGCACGAGTGTCAGGGCTTTCCCCTCAGGTGTTAGGGGGAGGCCACCCTCGTGTGGGAGCTTTCTGTGTCTCCCCTTCCCTCACATCTCCAGTGAAGGGGAGGAATAAAGCCTCCCTGACACCGTAAGGGGAAAGAAGGGGTGTGTGTCGGGGGTTTCTTCTGCCCCACTCAGCCCCCTGTAACCTGGTCAGACTCCTTCCTCCCACCCCTCTCCCTCACCTCCATCCCAGGCCAACCCCACCTTCAACAGGATGCAGACAAAGATTCCCCATCTTTGTCTGCATCCTACCCCCTCTCCTCCCCACAGAGACCTGTTGCCCCTCAGCCCCTCACTCCCACAGCTCCCCTCACTACCTTCCACGCCCGGTTCCCCCCACCCCCCAGCCTCCTCTCTAACCCTCCCCACACCACAACCC